ACCATTATTAAATCAATTAATTAAATTAAAATAAATTAAATCAACTAAAGAGAAAAATTATCAGTTACCAGTTTACAGTAACAAGAATTATATTAGTAGAATTTATTTATCTGTTGCTATTGATCTTAATTCATCAATGAAAATGGTAAGTGGTTATTGCACCAACTAGTTCTCCAATATTCTAAATATGTTAAACATAGAATTGTTTAGTGAATTGGAGTATGTGCAAGAGTTATCCCAAGAAAACCCCCAAGGTAATCTTAACCCTAAGTAAAGCTAACTAGAAGTCTGCTAAATGCACATTCCAAATCATGATATAAGCCAAAAAGCATATGCAATTTAACATACAAACAACAAATTATTGCTTATTTTTTAAAAAAAGCTCTATATCTGCTAATGATTCTGGAATGGGTGGCACTTTATATAGAGAGCTCTACATTCAGATTATTTTAGACAAAAAATAAAAAAGGAAGGAAGAAGCTGTGAGGTCTAAGTCCCAAAGGCCGGCTGGCTCCCCCACCCTCCTCATTAGCACTTTCCCAACAAATACCTCCCATGACATCACTCTGATTCTGACTTGAGATGTGCCATGGTTTTTTTGGAGACAGTAAAGCCCCATTCTCACAGCAACCTTTAAAAGAGAGAAAACTTGAATAAAAATTCTTTCGCCATTCATGTCCTTGCAATTACTTGGAGAGAAAATGCACTTAGCAAAGGCAGCATGCAACTAAACTTTGTGAATACTTGTAAATAATCAGTACTTCCTGAAACAGCAACCCCAAATTTGCTCTCCATCACCAATAAGTGAGTTACACAGAGCATTCATTCCTGATTTCCATCCTACTGTGCAAGGACCCCTTCCCTACACCATCTCCTCCATCTTACAGCACCAGATGCTCTACAACCACCACACCCAAAACCCCTCAACAGAAGTAAAACTGGCCAGAAATGAAACAACCCAACCAGAGTACAGGACCAAACTTAAGGCCACCACATTAACATCTCTTTTTTTCTATCTCCAAGGCTCAAAGGGGGGCTGTGGAGTTGGCACTGCTCCAAGGTGATCAAAGCCCTGGCACCCTGTCTATTTGGGGAGACACACCACTGAGCCCTTCTGAAGAGAGGAGGTCACGAGCACACGGAAGCAGTTGGGCTGTCTGTCCATCTGTTGTCAAGCATATCCTGAATGTCCCAGACTCTGCTTAGGTTGACAAGAAAAAGCCAAAAGAAAACAAACCACTTTAAATAGCCAAAACCCTCATTTATTTTGCATTGCAATCTGTAAGGAAGCTGTGCAATGTATTGTCCTCCCTTAGCTCTTCCTCCTCCCTCTGTCCCCCAACATCACCTAAGGCCAAGCCACAGGACCAGATGGTAACACTTTAGCAACAAACACGGAAATACGATATTGACCCTTTAATGCTTTCTCACAGATACTCCTTTGTACCATTCAAACATTACAACATCCGAGAAAATACTGAATGTTGCACCTAAGAACATAAATGCATTTTACTATTTAATTGAATCTAAAAATGGGCTTTGCAGATTACAACTGGAAAAGCCATAATTTTTCAGACAACTAAAATTAGATCATTTTGGTGAATAGAAAACATATCCCAAGTAAAGCAGTAAATTTAACACAGAAAGCCTCCAGCAGGGAGGGCAGAGTTCATGACTATCTCTCTATAGCCTTTTCCAGAGTTTAAAAGCTTCTTTGGAGAACTGTCCTGAATTAACCACAGGGACTGCCAGAGCACCAGAAGGAGGTGAATAGATGACTCTGAGCAGTCTGTCCTTAATATCCCTAATTTGTAAATGATTTAACAAAAAATAGCAACAACCAGTTTCTAAGCCAACAAAAGAGAAATAAATGGCAAAATGTTGATCTGGAAACAATTCTGTCCCATTACTAGTAGGGGTATGAACCACTCTATAATGCAAATGTGTTTCCAGGGAGTCCTAAGGAGGAAGCGACAACATATGTAGGACAAAAAGTCAAACTGGTTTTCCACAGCAAGATTTCTCCCACTCTTCAGGTCCATCTTTTCACTGCAGGTCAACCATTCAACTCAAACTTCAACCTAAAAAGCCAGCACATGATCAAACCCTTGAGAGGAGTACACATTAAGCTGATGGGTATGGTCATTTTGAAAGAAGAAAAGTTGGCTTCCCTAGTCCTATTTTCTGACCTAAAGACTTTAAAGTTTCCTTGAAAAGATGAAACATAAGTAGCCTAGAGATGAGTGAACATATTTCTCAACTCTACCACAACCTCCTTGTTGATTAAGAAGACAATAGAAATATGTATTCCCTACCCCAATCCACACATATTCTAACCATGCTCCCCAAAGGCAATGAATATAAATCATATTGTGGGAAAATTACCTTCTGGAAGGATTCCAGGCATCAAAATTTCTCTGAGCCTGGTTGAGACTCTCTATGCCCAGGCCAAACTCCCTCACTCAAAAGATGGCTTCCTTTCTCATGTCATGTTTTTCTGTTCGTGAAGTTGATTGATTCTTGCATGCTCATAAATGATTGCACAGGAGAATTTAAATGTCATTTTAAAAAAGAAAATCTAAGCAAGCCGAGACCAATCATAGTTCAGTGACTTGTTGAAAACAAAGCTTTCATTGACTCTGATCAGTAAAGCTGTTACTTTTATCTTTGGCCAGTCTATATTGCAGAGTCATGGAAAGACATTACTCAAAAGAGAACAGCTACCTCTTAGGTATATAATCACCTGTCAGATCCATGCCAGTCGCTGATCAACAGATGGCAGGAATTTCATTTTATTCTTCAAAAATTAAAGTTTTATGAGATTATCCTTTTTACATTTTAAGAACAATTCATTATTACTAAATAAAGTCTAATTTCTCTTGTTCATTAAAACCACTTTCCCTAGTATCCTGCCATTCTCTTGCCTAGAGAAACTTAATATTCATGAAATCCAAACACTGTTGTAGAGTCACCTTCTAAATCATAAGCACCTCACTTAAAAGCACTCTTCCCCTAACACCACCAGGTAGCATCCTGCCTACAGCAGATCTCACTCACTATTTGATCTGCAACTCCCAGCATCTTGACAGGCAACGAAGCTGTACTAGGCCCACAGTTTCCCCTGGTGGTTACTGTGTCCAGCTGTCGGATCTACAGTTTGTGGGACTGTAGGGCACACCCAAGTACAGATCAGTTCAGAAGCCTTTAGCGCTCCTCATAGATTTATCATGAACATTTTCTACTCCCTCTCATTGGCAAGGTGGGGAGGAGGTGAGGAGATGTGAGGGGCAGTGAAATATTTAAAAACTGAGTAAGTAAAGAATCACTTTTCAAAATAGTAAACATATGTCTGCCAAGATTCTCATATATCCCTTTAGTGAGGCATCATCTCTCACCTCAACCCTGGAAAATCACATCTCAAGAGAAATGTTACAGATGAAGTTGAGTTTCTTCTTTTTTTCTTTTTTTTTTTCTTTTTTCTTTTTTTTTTTTTTTTTGTCATTGAGCTAAATTTATTCCATTTAAATGCCCATATCATTTATTGGAGGTTAGGCCTTCTTATTTGCGGGGAGTTAAAATGTCCCTTATTTTATAAAATGGTGGCATGAAAACATTATCACTTTAACAAATTATCCTTACTTGCCAAAGTTAACAACCTTATTTTGGTCTTTAAAAAAAAAAAACTGATGCACAATTCTTGAAAATAAAAAATCAGAAAGCTATAAAGAGCTCCTGGGTAATGCCCAGTCTCAACCTCCATTTATTCTCATCCCTGCTCTTCTATAATAATTAAGTTTACTAGAGTAAAAGGACATCCCTGCAGGTGCACTAAGATTGAGGTAAGTCCTTGGGCTTCCTTTTCACTGTCCATCACTCTCTTGCCTGTCTTATTGACAAATTGCCCTTCACAAAAGATCCATGTTCTTAATACAGAATTTTGTGTTTACCTAGGATGAGAACATTACCAATGGGTAGATGTCATCAAGGCTCAAGTGTAAAAGGGGTCAGATAGATTTAGAAAAATCTGGTAGACTCGTGGTTTGAGGTCCTGGAATCTGTAGGAGGGACTCAGACGTCTCCAGAGAAAGCATTTACTCTAAGGGTAAAGAAAGTCAGGCAAACAAGTTTGCCCCAGTCTTCATCATCTAATCCTGAGGGAGAGGGGATTCTGAGTTCTATGTGGAGTCAATCACTAAGATTTGTTGTCCCTACCAACCTCACAAATCCCCTTCTGAGTAATAAGGAAAAGGGAGGATTCCAAATAAATTGAAAGAACTTTTTGTGTTTTTTGTTGTTATTGTTTGTTTGTTTTTACTAAAAACCCATGTTAGACATGAGGGCAAAATATATCCCTGTGATGATATCTACTTTGAATATAAGTCAATATAGCTCTCACACACCAAGACATCGGATAGTAAGATAGCACAGCTCACTCATGGTACCTTAAAGCAACATGATTCAATGGCTTAAAACATCACTCCTTAGCTGTATTGGGAGCATCCAGAAACATTCCCCTTGTCATAAATACTAAGATCTTCAAGATGGATGGACACAGACACACACACACACACACAAAGACCTCAGTAGATGAGTTCCCTCACCGCCTCTGAGTTGTTGAGTCTACTGTGAGTATATGTGAGCCACTCTCCTGCTCCAACCAGGGCCTCTCACAAATAATAGAGGGATAATATTATTAGAAACAATAAGAGTATGGGCTCAGAGAGGAAGATCCCTAACTTCAGTTGAGGTCAAGAGCCAGAAAAATATGGATCACAGGAGGCTAATACCAACACATGAATTCCAGGATTCCCTGGAATGTGAGCATTCTCATTATTATGTGTTTCAACCTCCAAGTAAATGGCATGCATGTAATTTGCACTTAAACATCTCAAAGAGTGTCAAAATTAAATCACTCTTCATTTGCCTTGGCTTCTAAACCTCCGATCACTAGTACTTCCCCTTTCCTCTCATTCTCTCATATAAATATGTAGTTAATATACCGAGTATATTAGCAGTGCACTGAAGAATTCCTGGGATGTCTTCCATTTCCTCTTTGTTGGAATGGTCTGCATAGAAGCATCTGTTAGAGATATTGTGGAAATTCCTTTCTGCATCCCTGTAACTAAGAAGAAAACAAAATTAGCATATGGAGAAAATTTTTAAAGCATCTGCAAATGCACTTGTATGCATACACACACAAGCACACGTGGTCTGTGCCCCTGGCATAATCGCATTTTTATATAACTGAAGCCCTTAGACACCATTTTTGGCATAAGCCGCCACTAACATCAGCATTGGGCGTGTGGCTGGGAACTGGAGGCTGTCATTGATAAAGAAACTGAATGTGACAAACATAAATGAAGAGAACCAAAATATCCATCAGTTTGCACTCCCAAGTGTTTCCTTGTTGATGTGCTTCAAAGCCACAGGTAATCTGTTCCTATAAGGAAGATACCCAGCAAACACCCTAATTCACAGTACTTATTTGGTACACTAGCACTGTGTTAAAGGTAGACACGTCTTAACCTCCCTCACAGTTGAGAAGATAAGCAATGTGGGTGCATGGATAACAAATTAGCTAAGGAGGTATTTAGAGTCTGACAGAACTTGAATCATGGTCTTACCATTGTCTATCTATGAGACTTGGGGCAAGTGACCTCATCTCTATGGACCTAACTAGCCTCCCTCATAAAATGGAGATCCTCCCCCCGCCCCTCACCCCACCACCCCCAGAATTTCTGCAAGGACAGAATGAGAAAATGCCTGTGTCATCAGATGTGGCCTGGAACCTCTCCAGTTGCCCCTGGATTAAAGCTAAGGCACCAAGGTTGAAGACGATACAGGCATTCCCCAAGAGTAGCTGTTTTCATCAGAACTTAAAGTACTAGAGTCACTGCTAGCTGACAGAAGCAAAGGAATAAAAAGAATTTGAAAGGCAATCCTCAGAAGAGTAAATAACCGGTCTAGGAAGATAGTGCTGTTGTCATTACTCCCTGGGTATTGCATTCCACCATGAATGTCTGCTGAGGTAGTGTAATTCCTGAGTGGAGAGAGAAGGTTTCAGAAAGAGTTATCAATAGGGAAAAGAAAGAAGAGAATTGGGAGCAGCCTACGATGCCTCCACTGGGCAAAAAATAGGAGTTTCCCAGGGGTGAGGGAGATGGTAGGAAAGAGAGACATGTCTCCACTGTCTCCTCTGCCTGCCTTCCCCGTCTAGAGGCTGCCAGCAGGAGACAGACCCCACAAGCAAGACTGGAGTGCAATCTGTGGGGCCAAGAGTGCAAGCATCTGAAACAGTCAAGGCAGAACTCATACAGGCACCTCACTGAGGGCACCACAGAGAAGGCAGGACCCTTACAACCATCGGTGAATCAAAAAAGGTTTCTGCCATTTTCCATTTTACTCCTGCCTCATAACAATACACAGAAAGGGGTGGCCTGGACCATCAGAGTGAAAAAACGCAGGATACCCCCTCTACACTGCGTTCCCAGTGCCTCAGACCAAGGCCTGACACAGGCAGAGAGAGGTAGGAGTGGGAGAGTGGATATGGGATTGAAGATGTGAACCTGTCTGGGAGTGGACTTCAGACTCCCTGTAAGTTCCCAGAAATCAGGGCAATCTGCCCAAGCTAGCATCAAAGAGGACCCATTCTCGCATGTTTGAAATGACTGGAGAGAAAAACTGATGGGGCCTCGTGTTTGCACACCTCAAGGAGATCAGATTCCAATAAGCCAGGGTGGCAAATACTGCAGTTCCCAGAAGGTAGGAAACTCAATAAAAGGTGGAATGGGGAAGGCAGTTATTAAAAACAAATACAGGGTTATTTGTAAAATTTAGCTCCCTCATTTTAACTGGAAATATAAAGACAAAATAGTTTTTCTCATAACCTCAATTTCTTTTTCTGTAAAATGAGCTTTATACAATGATCTTAGGAAATAGATGGTCAGAATTACAAAAAAAAAAAAAAAGAGATGTAGAGTGCCCAGTACATTTCTCAAAAAAGTGATCAGTAGATAATACCTTTTATCTAACATTGTGTTTATTTATTCTTTCAGATAGTCTATGTAAATACAGGAAAAAGAAGCTAGATCACTTTTTAAATAAAATAACATATAGTCGCAAAAATCTGACCATGACAGCATAAATCATACCATTAAAGTTTGCTTCCCAGAATAATTAGGGTTCACCCACTTCTCATGTTCTATGGAAATTACTGTAGCTTAATCCCTATTCAATTGTCCAAAGAAAAAAGAACAGAAGGTTGGCTGTACAAAACAAACACAGAGCCCATGGTGATAAATGGAATAACAGAATTTAATTTTAGATGACTATAGGAAATGTTGTCCCAAACTAATAGGAGGTTGGCAGCAGTCCCACCTATTAGCATCATGATGCTTATTCTGGCCAAAAAAAAAAAAAAAAAAAAGAACAAAATGAGTGGCATGATTCTGAATATATATTTATTCGTACTTCAGTTTTTAAAATATATAATGATGGACCATGACATCCCAGGAAGCAAGATTATCACGTTTTCCAATCACAGATTTAAAGACATCTCTGCTTTGACTACACTGTGCTGGTAATCCACCCTCGGGAGCTACAGACCAGTAGGAGTCACATAGTGTAAACACGAGTGAGGGTGGCTGGGGGAGATGCTCTCGAGGCAGAAATTTAAATGAAGGGAAAAAAAATCCAAACTCTCTGTAACAAGTAGCTGCAGCTAGAACACAAATGGAGCATGTTTAGCTTCTGATGGTAAACAAAGGATTGCAAACTTCTACAGACTCCAAGAGGACAGGGCAAGGATGCAGGAGAGTCAGACACTGACATATAGTGGCAATAATAGTGATTCAATGAACATATTGATTACTTTGTGTACCAGGCACTGTACTAACTTTATGTGATGACCTGACGTTATCATCGACATTTAACTTCACCCAAACCAACCCTGTAATCACTACCATTTTTAAAATGAGAAAATGGAGGTTCGTGGAAGTTAAGTCATCTGCCCTAAATCATTCAAAGGCAGAATCTGACTTGAGATCTAGTAAATCTGCTGTGTGGTATGTCTACTCCAAGGCACATTTTCTCAGTCCTCGGCTCTAAAGCACAAGACAAAGATGCACAGAGAGGAGGAAGGACACAGTATAATGATAAAAACAACATCAGAGGAAAAAGTCCTCATGAACCAGACTTTCCTTCATCCCGGTGCCTCTCAATTCCAAAGGTGAACCTGGTTTGCCTCCTACTTACCTCATTTGTCTCCCACTGTTCTTTCCAGCCCACACTGTCCAAGAAGTGAGCCCACCCCCTAGAAGCGTGAGTTATAGAGACACAAACACAAAGATGTATACTCAGTGGCCCCTTTCCATATTTTACAACAAGGGAAGAAGACTATGCTGCATGAACAGAACACTGTGAGGGTGAGTGAGCTCATGGAGAGTTTACATAAAAAATCTTAAAAATATAAGAAACTTAACCCCAAGCCAATTGGACACACGGCAGCAGAACATTAAGCATAAATGAGACATTAAGTTAATAAATCAGTAAATTTATGCTCTACAGGAAAGGCTCTTGCCACTAGAACTATGATGGACCTGAGAGAGTTGTCAAACCCTCCTTTTATACCCACTTTCAAGCCTAATCTACCCTTTTATCCACTCTACCCATACATCTGTGTATATACCTCCAGGATGCAATTCTTCAATTTATTCACACTCTTCCCCACCCACCAAAAGAACATGTGAGTCCCTCTTATGAACCAAGCAATTACAAAAGCATAGGATGATAGAGGTAAATAATTTAGATAAATCAACAACATAAGCCATGATAAGCACTATGGAAAGGAATAACAAAGAAGAATGAATACAAAATGGGTTGGAGATGGAAGTAGGGGATGGAGGGCTTCTCTAGATTGGGTAGCCAGGGTATGCTTTTCTCAAGATAATGACATTTAGACAGAGACCTGAACGTATAAAAAAAATAGTAATCCATGCACACATCTGGGGATAGACCATTCCAAGAAAATGGAATGGCCCATGCCAAAGCCCTGAAGCCAAGCGGGACTTGGGAAACCCACAGATGCCTAGTGGGGCCAGCGGAGATCAAAAAAGGGAAGTGGAAGAGGATGCAATCAGAGAAGTGAACAGAGGCCAGGTCACAGGAAAAGTTTAGGCTTTGGTCATGATATGGTTTCAAGTAGGGATGTCACATCATAATATCTGGCCCTGCAGTGTCAGCAGCATTATTTGAGAACTCATTAGAAACACCACCCTCAGGGCTCAGGATACATGGGGTCAGAGGCCCTGGGGGTGGAGTCCAGCAATCTAGGTTTTAACAAGCCCGCAGGTGATCCTGATGCACATTAACATCTGAGCCCAGCAGCCTTATGTGAGAAAGTGGCATGGTCTAATTCGTTTCATCACTTTGTGGTGGTGGATATACAATGCTGAGAGACAGGAGTAAAAGGAGATCGGGGTGGATCTGGAAGCCATAGTGACAGTAGAGACAACTTGAATGGTCTCTATGAATAAACCAGTGAACGAGAGAACAGACAAGTTGAGGAACAGAACAAATGTTTAAAGACAAAGTTCCTGGGGCACAGAGAGACTGTCTCACTCCCTGATGGAGGCTCCATGGGTTACTCCCTCCAGTCCTCCATCTGTGTGATCCTTTGAACAGCTGCTCCCTGCACTCAAGTCTACATCTTGGAGACTAAAAAAAAAGCCTCAGTTTCTACAAATGACTGGTGCAAGCATGCATCAAGGAGCAGCAGACAATTCTAAGGCTCTCGTAAATAAAGCAGGTCCAAGGGCACTTTTAAAGGAGAAGAGAGGGAGGCTGGGAGGCCAGTGGTTAGACTCAGACTTAAGAAAATAAGAGCAGGGGCACCCCCGGTGGCGCAGCGGTTTAGCACCGCCTGCAGCCCGGGGTCTGATCCCGGAGACCCAGGATTGAGTCCCGCGTCGGGCTCCCTGCATGGAGCCCACTTCTCCCTCTGCCTGTGTCTCTGCCTCTCAGTCTCTCTCTCTCTCTGAATAAACAAATTAAAAAAAAAAAAGAAAGAAAGAAAAGAAGAGCAGGAGGGTTAGCACCCTTCTGGACATGGATGGAGCTAGAGAGTCTCATGCTAAGGGAAATAGGGCAGTCAGAGAAAAACAAAACCATATGATTTCACTCAGATATAGAATTGAAGACAGAAAACAAGTGAGCCCAGGGGAAAGAGGGAGAGACAAAGCAAGAAACAGACTCTGAACTACAGAGAGCACACTATTGGTCACCAGAGGGGAGGTGGGGGGGGGGATGGGGGTGAAGGAACGCACCGGATGGGATGAGCACCGGGTGACTTCGGGAAGTGCTGAGTCACTATATTGCACACCTGAAACTAATATAACACTGCTAACTGAATTTAAATATTTTTATTTAAATAAATAAAAATAAAAATTCTAAATATATATTTATAAGAAATAAATTTTAAGTAACTTATTTTAACTGAAAAAATTTTAATTAAAAACGGCTAAAAAATAAAAAATAAATTAAAAATAAAATAAAAAATAAAATAAAAAGGGCTAGCTTATACTCCTTGTTATCCATCCTGATTCGTCCTCTCAACCTAAGGCACCTAAGACTTGATAAACTCTAGGCAAAGCCCTATTTCAGAGATGTGGAAAACCACCTCTTTCCCATCCTCCCTCTGCCCCCCAGAAATACGTAAACTAATACTCAGCACTTCTTACCAATTGCTAGAAATCCCTTTCACTGGAAGAAACACCGTCCTTTTCAGTGAGAGATAAAAAGCCTTAAACTATCTTCCTAAGAGGAACAGCACACAGGTGTGAATACATTAATTCAAGTGTTAGTCATAAAAGATGCTCTCCTGTTTCAGTAGCAAGGAGAAACAGCGAGAGGGTGGTGGACAGGGACACCAGGACTGATGGGAGAGGCAAAGTCAGAAAAGCAGACGTCACAATTCTGGCAGCCCACTGGTCCTCCTCATGAGCATGCAGGTGAATAAGGGCAGTGAGCACAGGTACTTGAAGTCCTCAGAAGGTAGCCCACACCCAGGTGAAAATGTGTTCACGGGGCTCTTTGGAACCAGCCAGACACTGAGTCACCTCTTCACATCCGAGTCACAGGCACTGTATTCTTTACACTATGTCTGCAAGAAGTAGAGCTAGAAAAGACCATTTTGGAGCCATGAATCACCACAGGCTAGGTCTACATAGACAGTTAACAGGAGTGTTGAAGCAGTGATTTAGATAAAAGAGAACTCCATCTTGATGTGGGAAACAAAGGCAGAAGAGAAATTATTAAATGTCCTTATGACTGACAGCTCATTGACATACCCTTGAAACAGGCAGAGTGACCTTTGCCTAGGAACACAGATGCCTCCATGTTAACACTTTGCTAAGGGCAGCAAGCAATCATAGCCTGACCCTCAGGACCCTGTGAGTCTACTTAACATATAAAAATTCCTTTGGAAACTTCCCTTATCTCAACCCACCCCCCAAGACACATGTTGGTGATCATCCTCCAAGCATATAACTCACCAATGTACATCTGAAGGGTCTCATGACTCAGGTTTTATAAGACAGTAATAAATGACCCTTTCCCAACAACAGCTAGTCCCCTTAAGGTCCTGGATACCTTGCTTCCAAATTCCTTACAGACTTAGGCTCACCCTAACCCCCTCCCAACTTGAAAGTATAAAATGGGCCACTCCTCATGACCGGGGTACAGCTCTTCCTGCCCACAGGTCATGTCCCCATGCTTTAATAAAACCACCTTTTTGCACCAAAGACGTCTCAAGGATTCTTTCTTGGCCATCAGCTTTGAACCTTAATTTTCCTACATCACATCTTACTAATGGAAAAAAAGAATTTTCTGCTGATTATGGTAATATTGTTTAGTTACCTCTTCTGCATAGTTCTAACATCTCCATTCCAATTGAATCAGTTATGATTTCATTTCAAAACAGAGGGCATTCACTATTCCAGGAAATGCTTTGTGGTTGATTATTGGTATTGTCTTTAAAATATTAAAAATAATAAACATAAGAGCAAACAAGTATGTAGTGCTCACCACACACAGGAAACTGTTCTCAGTATACTGACTAATTTTTTTTAATTTTTTTCTTTTTTTTTAAAGATTTTATTTATTTATTCATGAGAGGCAGAGAGAGAGAGAGAGAGAGAAAGAGAGAGAGAGAGAGAGGCAGAGACACAGGCAGAGGGAGAAGCAGGCTCCATGCAGGGAGCCTGACATGGGACTTGATCCTGGGTCTCCAGGATCACACCTCGGGCTGAAGGCGGCGCTAAACCGCTGAGCCACGGGGGCTGCCCTATATTGACTAATTTAATCCAAATGTCACACTGTGGAAGCAGCAAATCCAATGAGAGTGATTAAGTTTTATTTTAGAATATGTGGGGAGAGATTAATTTGACATCATCTACCTCTGTTAGGATAAACCATTTAAAATCACTAATGGCCTCAAACTAAAAGCCATCTCACAAGTTTAAATAATATGCTTTTCCTAGTACTGCACTTTTGAGGATTGATGTGAAAACGTTTCAAAGCAATTCTCTTTGAAATGACAATTAACAAAATTATCAAGCGCTTGAAGTATGTGGCATTGTACGAGGTACTGAGATTATTTTTCCATTAAATTTTCTTTTCTTCTTTTTTTGTTTAAAAAAAATTACACTACATCCTAATAGCCAAAAATACATCCCTGTTCCCCATGGCATTGACTATTAGCCCCAAGTGTTAAAGGATGCTTGACACCATTTCACAAGGTACCAGGGTTTGAATCTTGACTCCTCAAAAGTTCTTACAATCTTACACAAATAAATCGCTGCCACGCATACAGAAGGACATTCAGATGTAAATTAAAAATACATAGTGCCCCTCATGTCAATGAGTTTAATTCATTCATTATAAGCTAGATTGCATCAGAAAGTGAATTTAGGTTTCTGTATTTCCAACTGTTTTTCTGCCATAGCCAATCAAAGGCATACCTTACACTTATTTGGAGTTTTCTATTTACAGAATATGCTCATTGAAATGACCTCATTTATCCATGCATCTCATCCTCGATTAGTTGTTACCATCATCCTTTGCAAAACAGATAAAGTTACTTTAAAGTTCTATGTGCCTGTGAGGCCTTGGGCTCCTGTTTCTCAATCTTGTCTTCTTATGTTACTTCATATCACCACAATGTCAAGAAACAGAAGATTAAGGAAAACCACGTAGCATGTGACACTAAGGAAACCAATGCCTCTCACTGAACTGTAAGGCTTGTAATGATTTTGAGTAAACTTTACTAAAGAATTCTAAAATCTCTTGTAAAGCCTCTCCTTTGGTACCATTAAACCTTACCATATTCCCAGGGCAATGGATTCAATGGATGAGAAGAGGAGGTTAAGAACACAAGAAGAAGAAGGAAAGAAAGGCAATACCAAAAGGAAATCATTTAAAAGGGTTAAATGCAAGTAAGCAAAAGGCAAAAGGAAATCACTGCAGGGGTCCCAACGAGCCCCCACCCCACATTGGGAGCACGGCCAGTGTGAAATAAGACCCATCTGGGTGGCAGAAAACCACATGTTCAACAGCTAGCTATGTTTGAGTAATTATCTTTAATTTGCCCCAAATAATGATGAAAATCCATTTTACTTACCCAATAACTTGGTGCTCATAATGCTGCAGTGTCCTCTTGAGAGTCTGCTGTATCGTCTGAGGCTGGAGGATAATAATAATAATAAAATATATTATCAGCAAATCAGTGCCATTCCCATTCTGAGCATCAGAGACAGATATAGAGCTTCTGATTTATCTTATACATATTTTCACTTTACAATATTAACCCATTATGCATTTTGCCATGTATGTTCCCCACAGGAACTAAGAGGCATTCAGCAATTACCCAGAATTTCTCGGTTTCAAGTGTGATAGCATTTCCTAGCCATATTTTTCCCAATTCTTTAGTACCAGTCGCCGACAATAAACCAAGGCATTGTGGGCAGTAGAGGGGAGGTGTATTGAAGGAAATGTAGGCCATGCCCAGGTCAAACCTGACTCCCTCAAGGAGTCCTCCCAGGCAAGGGTTCCAGCAAGGGTTCCAAAGCCCCCTGGAGCAGCCACAAGTGCTCTGGACAAGAAATAGGCAAAGACCTAAGTCATTCTTGACCAAACAGCATAATCCTTCCCTCTTCATGACAGCTGAAGATAGAGTTTCTTAATTCCAGATCAAGACATTTTTCTTAGACTTACTTAGGCAACAGAGCCTGAGCTTGGAGTTTCTTGACCCAGGGAGCCGTAAAGATCCCAGAACATAGATATAATTAAGAAATTATGGTGAAAACCTAAGTCTCAGTGGCAAGAGTGAATTCTTTAAATATAAAAATGCAGTCAGCTGGGCAGAGCACAATCTGTCACAGGCTCATCAAACGATTGATTCATTATAGCCATGGATGAATTTTAGGGGAATATAAGGACTCTAATGCAGAGCCTCGGCATGCAAGGCAGCTTGGTAGTTTAGCGGTCTCATGGACTGCCTCTAATTAAGCACACAAACCCAGATGAGGTCTAGAAAGGTCTCCTACAGGAAGGACCTACCACAGCGCTGGTGCCTAACAAGCAGTTAATAAACACCAGTGTATTACCCACCCCTAATCCTTCAAAGTGGCTATCTTTAAAATTTTAAATTTAATTTTTAAAAAAGTAATTTAAAAAAGACTACAGACATTGTTAGCCAAGTTCTTAAAGTCCTTCCCTGTTTACCTCCCTATGAAAACATCCAGGACAGAAGTAGCAACCTCCCCACCCAATACTCTTCCAAGTTTTAGCCTCCTTTTTGGTTGGAAAGGGTTATTCTAGAGCTAAAAGAAAATAAACTTCGATTAAATCAAGGGCATCCACTGAAATATCTTCTATGCTACCACTTAGGAAAGCCCTTTCACTGAGCAAATCTAAGGCTTCACTTTAGCCAAACCAAGTCAGAAACTAATTTTAGGAGGAATCAGCCTCCAAATGTTCAAGGAAATAGGTATAGGGCTAATACTTTCCAGAGCTGTTTTTCATTTATACCATGTTAAAAAGATGAACAGGAGGCTTCAAACTGTCAGATGTTTCTGCTCTTCAGGATGGAATCCAAGCAGAGTAAATAGAATGTATCTAAGGAAGAAAATCACGTCTAAACCAAGAAGCAATGGGGCTGTTGAGAAATCTAAAAAGGACAAATAGACACAGCAATCCTAGCGCACAGGAGAAGTGTGCTTTAAAAACTCAACCCAGGGCCAACCCAAACCAAGTCATTATCAGTCACTGGCTCAGTACCCTTGGGATCTGGGTCTCCAGCACTGGCTTGGCAATTTGTGAGCTAAGATAACTTTCTCTTTGGCAACACGCCCTAAAAGCAGTGAATATGCACAGAGGGATTATCCTTCCAATAACCTCTGGTCACAAAACAGGGAACAGAAAGCAAGACCTCAAGTGCACAGGGCCAGTTAAGACCAAAATGACCTCATTTGTACAAAAGGACATTTTTTTCCTGCACCAGGAATTCCCCAGTCATTAAAAAGCACATGTTTGTAAGAAGCGTGGAGACTTTGAAAGAGTGTATTTTTTTTCCTTTTGTAAAGCAATTACTTTTTTTCCCCAGCAGGAGTTAAATTTATAGTTTCCAAATACATTAAAAGGAAAACATTCTCTGGACATATCTGACAAAGCTTCAACTTGGAAAAGCATTTATACAGGCCCTATTGGTGGCCTGTCCTGGTGGTCTAAACCACAAGTGTGGAGGCTGAGGGCAGAGCATCTCCTCATCATCAGCAAGCCACGCCTGACTTCCACACACACTTGACTCCCTAAGAACATCTTGTCACCATGGATTCACTGAATCTTCTTCAGAGTTTCCCTGTTTGCTCAACCAATGGCTCTGATTACCAGTGAAGACATCTTCACGAAATCTTAGGGCCTCTCTGACCTGAATTAAAAAAGCAAGACACGAAGACCCACATGTGGGCCAAAGCCTTCCACAGGGGCAGCTTCTGCCTTAAGAGCTGTAGGGTACCTTTCATAGTGTCCATGTCTGCCAGTGATGCAAGGCAGCATATTAGGGGGAAAAATAGGGGCTTTGTAGATATGCAAATTATATTCTCTCTCTCTCTCTCTCTCTCTCTCTCTCTATATATATATATATATATATTCTCTCCTCCACACCTGTCCCCTACCTAACATTTCTACAGGCCATGATCCCATTCCTCTTATCCATATCTATCCCTTCCTTCTTTTAAGAAGAAGGTTAGAAACATGATTTTAGAAAATGGGATTTAATAACAAAGTGAGTTCAAAATCCAGCTCTGTGACTAACTAGCTAGATGACCTTGGGCACTTTACTTAAGTTCTCTGAGATAGGATTCCTTATGTATACATTATGTTTATGGAAATTAATTGAAATAAAGCAAAGTCTCTGGTGCACAGTAGATACATAATAAATACATAAAAAATTATAGTTATGACTATGCTCAGCTGAAAAACATGGCTCCCACCCTCAAGAGTCTGGTAATCTACCCTGCAAGCCTAATGTTCCAAGATCCGTATCACCTAAAAAATCAATAGATCTACTATTACTGCTGGTGCAGATTCCAGTAGACAGAAGAAACATTTTTTTAAAATGGCAGCAGAAAGTATAAATACTTCCAATGAAAACTTCAGATCAGTCCAGAGATGGTGATAAAAGCAGAATTCTGAAAATTAAGGTTGAGGACAGACCTAGGAAGCAGGCTTATAAGTGAGAAGGGCACTGAGGCACCACAGCTAGGTCAGGACCCCAGGCATTAAGCTCTACAAGGAATAAAAAGCCACAAACCTCCTTCCTAGAACACAAAGAATGTGCAACAGAAGAATCAGGTGGCCTCATAATTTTCTAACCATATGCTGCAGGATCTGAGAGACAAGGCTGGGTAAAAAGACAACCCACACTTCCTTTCATAAATAGATAATCAAAGAGATCTGTGATTCTTCTCTGCTCACCCCAAACTAAGATAGAGATAGCAGTCTCCTATGAACCCTGCTCAATAGGAAGAAGCACTGGACAGGAAGACAGCTGGACAGATAGGGCAGCCATCCGGGTCCTTACACAGAAGGTACTTGAAAGCTGCCATCAAGTGGCCAAAAGAAGCCATCTTCATCTCTAGTCTCATGTACAGCTTCACTCTGCTTGGCCAACAGTACTGACCCTCACAGATTAAATGTTATGCTCCTGGAAGGTCATGGGATCCAAACAGCCAGCCATGAAACAGTCCCAACAGAGCCGGAGAAGTGGTCCCCGAGGAGTGGGAGGAAGCAGTTCCCAGCAGCAGGCCCTGCAGGCTGAGGCAGCCCTGCTCTGGATCCATCCGCACCAGATGGATCCCGGGACCAGGCAGGAGCAAGGAATCCAGACGCGTGCATGTGTGTGCAGGAAACATGATCGTCACCAGGTAGAGCACACACTCACCTCAATTTTAGAGATTAAGAAGTTGATTGGTTAAGTAAATATGGCGTAATCACAAAGCTGGTAAGTGAATCGGCCATGGCAGGCCAGGACTGGCTTCCAAGTGCACCCTGTTTCTACTAGATGCCTTGAGGGTTCCTCTCACCTTTAACATTCTGGGATTCTACACTGTTTAATATTGACAGCACTTCATCATGCCAAAAATAGCCACAACCTCACACGTAATTTAAACACAAACTTCTCATTTCTGCTTTATGGCACAGACCCACAGGCTACAGAATTAATGGAAATAATAAATCCATGCTCCTTTAAAGAAATATCTGTAAATAGCCATGTCATTTTATTTACTTAAATACAAGAAAATTAAGTATCAATGTCAGAAACTAAATGATATGAAAGACATTTAATTACTAATGCTCTAAGCCAGTAGTTTTCTATTCTGTCTGCATATTAAAATCACCTTGGAGAGTTTTTAAAAAATACCAGTACCTGAGCTCCACCTCCAAATTTTCCAATACAACCATCTGGGAGACTCAGTTGCTTCTAATGTGCAGTAAGGACTGAAAATCTTTCATTTAAGATATAAACATGACGATCAAGACCATAATCCTCTACAAATCTTTCTTGAACTGAATAAGTCAGCATTAATGAGAAGTTTCTTTACTCATATATCAAGAGAAATAAGCTTCTGAGGGGTGTTCATACATAATTGCCAAATTCAACACAATTCATTCATTAACTGTCATAAATGGCTTATAATCAAATATGAATTTCTTAGATAAACAAAGAGCTATGCTGCTTGAGGCATAAACATAGGATTTTTTTTAATTTCCACATAATTCACTCCCATGCACTCACATCAGCATTAGATGTTACACAGACAAATACATATAACATAGCAGCTAGTATGACACTGCGTGTGAGTAGAATGGTCTTTACATCAATCTGATGAGATGGGTGTCATTATTTTACAGATAAGAAAATCAAGACACACAAAGTTTATGTTGCCCTATGTCACACAGGTAAAAAGAAACAAAACCAGGGTTGAGTCTCAGGTAATCTGCTCCAGAATCCAAGCATATAATCTCCAACCTATACTGTACTTAACATTTAAAACTATATTTGGTTAAGCGCTTTACAGTTCACATTTTTTAATGCATGTTATCCCAACTGATCCTTGCACCAATCCAGTGAAATAGTGAGGCTGGTGCTATTATCACTCTCTGACTGAGAAAGAACCAAA